CCTTGACGTGAGGAGGAAAAATAGTCAGAATGGTGATTTAGAATAAAGGAAATTTGTGAAATTGAATGTATGAGACTAAGATGTGCAAATTTAAATGTATAGAACGAAAAAATGTTTTGTGACGAAAAATGAGATTTAGTCTTACATTTGTTCTTCAATGAAAGGAAAAAAAAAAAAGAAAAAACCAATATTTCATTTGAGAGGACACTAACCGATTAAGGCAGATTTTACTGACTGTTTACCTGCATTCACTCATTTGACCAAAATTGACTTTCACTAAACTTTCGTCGCAAATATGTTTTTCCATGTTGCATAATTTGCATTAACCACTTTCACTTCTTCTTGGATTTTCCAAGTGATCATTAGAATTATTGTTTTCTCTCTATACATAGTCTAAAATTGTAATGAGCATGTAATCCACCGTGCATCGCGCGGTGTAATAACTCGGTGGATTACATGCATTAAGAAAAACGTTGACGTTGTTGTATTTTCTTTTATTTTTAGTGACAAATAATTTTGTTTTTTCTTTCACAACAAATAATCTCTATTGTAATAATTTTTCTCATGTCTTGAAATCAGTAGCCAAAACAAAATATAACAATAATTTTGTTTTTTTAGCACTATATAAAGGGCTACCACAACTCTATTGTAATAATTTTTCTCATGTCTTGAAGTCGCATTCCGAAATGTTGTTAATTTTGATTGGAGGCATAAAAGGGTCTTATTATGGTCATTTCAGATCATCCTTTTCTTGTGATGCAGGGGTGTGTCCTTTTCTAGTTTTTTGTTATATTTTGCCTTGGTGACATAATAGCATACTCTGGTCGGGGGGAATAAAGATGAAGGAATTTTTGTTTCGTGCCTTTTGAGGGGAAATTTTGGTTGTCGGACAGCTGTACTTTCGCTCTGAGTTTGCGAACTCAGAAAATAGCTGAAAACAATTGCAGACGGTTGCTACATAAATTTCTATTTATTCGAGATCTAGGAATATGCAGCAATCCATGCGATTAATTCTTCTAATTAACTCTCCCGAGAAAATGATCCCGCGCAAGAAAATAGACTAATGTAGCTAAGCAGTGTCCTAGACTGGCACTGACACGGTCATCAGCTGACTTAATATGGCTGAAAGTTCTTTTCTCCTTGTGAGAAAAATAGTTCAGATTTTTGTATTGAAACCATGTAATAATGTGAATTACTTTTCTAGAATAAAGGGAATACTCCAAAAATCCTTCCTGCCATCTTAATTTCAAGGCAAAATTTGGTTGCACAACATTTCAACGTTACATTTAGGGAAAAAAAAAACTCAAACCCCTTCAACTTAATAATTAATGGCTTTTCATGTGTACGCCTGTAAGGTGATCAAGAAATCAAGATGTGATTGTAATGTGCAAGTGGTAATCAAAGTTGTGTGAACAAATATGATTTTGCACTCAAAGAAAACTTCATATCAAGAATGTTTGGACGTCTGAATTTGCAAAACAGGATAGCCTTTAAAATGATGCAACAGTGATGGTACAAAAAAGGGGACTAACTGAAGTTAACAAAAAAAAATTAAATGGTGCCAAAAAATAATTGATCAAGATCTGAACGTTTAGAAACCGAAGCTACTTCTGCTCATCATCTTTAACCTACTTGCGGTTTCAGTTTTGAGAGATCCTTTGAAACCTGAGCAGGGACAGCTTCACCATAAAACAAGTGAAGCCGCCGCTTTAGCCTCAATTATTAGGGGCCCCTAATTTTTAGTATTTTTAATATCATATACATTTATATATACTTTTAACAAAAATCCATCATCAAAAAAAAAATTCTTTGAATTTTAACTCCAAAATTATTTATATACAGTAGGCGGAGTTAAAAAAAAGTTTCCGAAATTATAAAACTTTAAGTTCGCCTACTATAAACTTTCGGATTTGTAATTATCGGTCCAAAATATAAATAAGGAGAAATGTTAACTTTTTTTTATATATAGTTTTTTATTTTTAAAAGGTCTAAATTTCAAAACTCGCTTTATGGCCCTGAGAGTTTGCAATATAAGAGTAATATTACTTATAAATTAAAGTAAGAACTATAACTTCACTCAATGAACGTCACATACTCTACAATTTTATGCACTCTAGTGACTGTCAATGTCTACAATATGTTAACTCAACAAAACATTACCAAAGTCAGAAACACAAACGAATATCAAAGGCCAAAATTAAAATTGTGGGATACATTGACTATGTATAGAGAGAAAACAATAATTCTAATAATCACATGGAACTAATAAGAAATGAAGTGCTTTTCAAGTAAATAAAAAATGAAGGAAAGCCTCTCTTCGTCTCTTTCTCCACCAAAGATAGAGAGGCATCCCTTTTCAAGATCCCCTTTGTTTCCCCTTCATCTCATAAGGTTTAATTGAATAGATTGAACACGAAAAGAGGGAAAAAAAAAAGGATTCAGCTCAGGCTCAGAGAGAAGAAAAAGCGGGATTAATCTCCTAGTTTCAGTGGCTGAGACTTCGCTTTGTCTTCAGACGGCCTCATCTGAAAATGGTCGCCAAATTTAATTTCTTTCCGTGTTTATTTTTTAAAATTTCGGAATAAAGTAGGCTGGATCATCCTTAATTACTCCAGCTTTGATTTCTTCTTCTGTGGTTGTTTTGTTTAAGTTCTGCATGAACAGACTGAACTAGCATGAGTCCAGATATATACACGAGTAGAACTCCAAATTTATACTAAGATTTATATAACGGGCATGTAATAGTCCGCGCATCGCGCAGAATAGTTATCGGCTAGTATCTAAAAAGAGGTATCGCGCATTTGAACAACTTTTCTTTTTTTTTTTTTGGTTTATTACTGTTTTCTTTCTTTGAAGAAAAGTTTATTGTTTTTGTGTGGTCCTACAGGTTCGTCGTTGGCCCCCTTTATGACCCGATGAACATGCCTAAGACCAAGTATCATTTACCGCAAATTTAATTTTTAGATACGTAGTTGGAAAGCAAAATCTTAAAGATCTTATTCAAAATCAGATTCAGACTCTCGTACGTCATATGTCCGTCAATTATATGAGTGGATATACATAGATTAATTTATAGTAAACATAACAAAATGACATGTTTGAGTTATATTTGACTGTTTACTTTGTATGATCAATTACAGTTGAACGATTTTCACCAAGTGAATGAAAGTATTTTTTATTTTCAAAATTTTTTTGGAGATTTTGTTCCTTTAGGGATTTTATTTCATGTGAAACATCAAATTATTGATCAAGGAGAGGATAAAACTTATTTGTAGGCACCCAAAAGACAGGAATATTGAAGGTACCCAAGCAACCTCCAACTCAAAATTGGCCATTATCATATCAGTATAACTTTGATTTCAATATCATTGTAGTTAGCAACACTCAAAGGGTAGTTTTTATGTTCATGTAACTTTTCACGCAGGTGACTTGAACATGACCTGACTCAAACGAGACCAATGAGAAAGTAGCCAATCAATTAAACTATGCTTTTCAATGAAGCACCATCTCAAACAAAAATCTCTAGCATCATCATCTAAATGCTTAATGAAATGACTAAAGCTATAATACTCCCTGTTTTAAAATGATTATCCGATTGAATTTATATTTATGTCGTATAAATAATTCTAACAATAAAAGTTAAAACATGACAATAATTTTAAAAAGGAAAAAATATTTTTATTTATCACGTTGGAGCGTTCATCATGATCAATCACTGAACGTGAGAATAAATCTAAACTTTGTCAGCCTAAGGTACTATAATCATTCACTGATGAAATACAAGATCCTTAGCCGCCCAACACGGCAACACCACTACCAGTTAGACCCACCTTGCACATCGTAGTTTTTCAGACCACGAAATTACTAATGCTGCAAAATTTTTCGAAATCCCTTGGCCAATAAAAAGAACGTGTTGTTTACTTCTTTTTTTTGAATCGCTAAAATGATGCAAATTCTGTGAACACTGATACTTTTTGTTCGCTGTCAGAACCTTGAAATTGGGGAACATGTCCTGTCAAATTGTACGACCGAGGTCAAGGTTCCAAAAGATATCTATTAACAAATACTCCCTTCATTTTTCCTATATGTATTTTTACAGAAATCATTAAAACCAAGAAAACATTAATTAATTTAGTTAAAATACAAAAATAACTTTATTTATTTTTTTATATAATTCATTACAAATCAATAGAAATTCATTATAAATATTGTTTCATTTCCAATGCAAAGGTAATAAACTCACCAAATCCTAAAACGATATATATTTCAAAATAGAGGAAATAATATTTTAGATTTAAATGGAAATTGATTAAATATTAAATTTTCTAATCAATATTTGTCCCTTGTTCCGTCACTGCGATCGTCGGAACTTAAATCATTTCTTTCAATTGCAAAATAGAACTTTTCATGTTCCAAAAAGTTGTTCACTTTGAGTTGACAAATATCTCTTATTTTTAATACATACTTTCAAACTTAATATTAAATACCTTTTTAACATAATGAATATGTACGAATTACTAATCTATGTCTATCACATACGAGGAAAGAACAAACAATATAAAATAAAAGAAATATGAATTCTAATTTGTTTATAGCTTTGTACTCTCATTAATACATGACTATACGTTATTATGAAAGATTTTGAAATCGTTAAAAAATGCATAAAGAATGGGATAACCCTTACTTTTAATAGTTTTTTTTTCTTTTCTCTCTCTCTCTCTCTTTGGTTTTTTTTTTTTTTTTTTTGCTACAATAAAGAGACGCCTACAGTTAAACAGATGCACATTATAGGAATAAACAACCTTTATAACATCAGGCTCACGTCATTGTATTACACCGTCGGTGGATCATTCTTACATTAAACAAACTAAACGATTACACAAGACTTTTATTTGAGGGAAAAAATGTCAAAACAAATAGCTCCTGTCAACCTATAAATAGAAGCAATATAGCAACATTATATAACACACTAAGCCAGCTGCATAGAGTGGCAAACGAAAATGGAGATTTCCATGTTTTCATTTGAGGAAAAAACACTAGCTTTATTGCTCTCAAAACATTCCCTCTCTTTGCTTCTTTTATTCCTCATTTTCACACTGTTTATGTTCAAACGGCTAATCAATCACTCTTCAAACAACCTCCCACCTTCACCACCAAAACTTCCCATAATTGGAAACCTTCATCAAATTGGTTCCATTCCTCAACGCTCCCTCAAATCATTAGCTGAAAAATTTGGTCCCTTAATGCTTCTTCATTTCGGCAGCAAACCTGTACTCGTTGTCTCCTCGGCTAAAGCCGCTGAATATATCCTCAAAACGCATGACAAAATTTTTGCCAATAGGGCGAAATCATGCTTTACAGGAAGACTAGTATACAATTTCCGGGATGTTTCATTTTCGCCCTACGGTGAATACTGGAGACAAATAAGAAGCATTTGTGTACTACAACTTCTTAGTCACAAGAGGATTCAATCATTTAGAAGCGTACGCGAAGAAGAGGTCGGGTTGATGGTCGAAAAAATTAGAGAATCTTGTCTGTCAGGCTCGCCAATTCGCATAGGTAACATATTGGGAACACTTGCCAACAATATAATTTCGAGGGTTGCGGTTGGGAAAAGATATTCAGGAGAAAAAGTTGGGAGTACGGTTAAGGATTTATTCGAGGAGTTTTGTTCGATATTAGGGACATTTAATGTTGGTGATTACATCCCATGGCTTGGATGGATTAATCACATCAATGGAATGGAATCAAGAGTGAAAAGGGTTGCTCAAGAATTCGACGAATATTTGGAAAATATTGTTGAAGAAGGAATCAAGAGGCAAGAAAGGAAAAAAGGTTGTAAAGTTGGTGAAAAAGAAGATAACAAAGAGCAGCCGACTTTCATTGATGTATTGCTTGAACTCAAGCAGCAGGATTCCGCAGGACATGGGCTGGATCGTGATTCGATTAAAGCTATCATTTTGGTAAAAGTTTTCATACTTTCATTTCCTATAACATAGGAAATACGTAACCAAATATGTCTAATTGTTTAATCAATAATTATTTTGGGACGAAATAAATATATGTGGTTGTGTTGGCAGGATATGTTTGTTGGTGGGACAGACACCTCATCAGCAGTGTTGGAGTGGACAATGGCTGAACTACTGAAAAACCCAAATGCTATGGTTAAGTTACAAGATGAACTAAGGCGATTTTCAAGATGCGAACCAGATCGAATTATTGAAGACGATCTGGAGAAACTTCCATATCTAAAAGCAGTAATCAAAGAGAGTCTTCGATTGCATCCTCCAGTTCCATTTCTCGTTCCTCGAGAATCCAGCAAGAGCGTGAAAATCATGGATTATGATATTCCAGAAGGCACTCAAGTCCTCGTCAATGCTTTCGCAATTGGAAGAGATCCTTCGACGTGGGAAAACGCCGAAGAATTCAAGCCTGAGAGGTTCTGGAACAGCTCGATCGACACTAAAGGGCAACATTTTCAGTTGATACCATTTGGTTCTGGAAGGAGAAGTTGCCCTGGTTCTGGATTTGGCTTGCTAAATGTTGAACTCGCGCTCGCGAATTTGATGTTTAAATTCAATTTTGCATTAGCTGGTGGAATGAAACCAGAGGAATTGGACATGATTGAATCCCCTAGTATTGTAACTCCAAGGAAAACACCTCTGATTCTTGTCGCAAGTCTAGCTAGTTAGAGGTTTCTATTATTTGTTCTTATTTCAAATGCTACCACGGTTAAGATTATATTGTAAGTCTTTTACTACAAAAACCGATCTATCCAATGTTTTGGGCATAAAATGTAATAGTAGTATTTTTTTTTTTTTTTTTTTGTCTATCCAAATGGCTTTTGAACCACATTTGAAACAATTGAAATGACAAGGGGTTCATGAGAAAGCATGAGAATTCCAAGATACCAAAACCGACAATTTCTAGTTACATCTTTACGTTTAAATTTAATGGAAAAAGTAAAGATTTTTCTTTCAAATATTCTTGGCAAATGGTTACAAAACTGTAGCTTTCGCTGATCCTTTGTTCTTGCAAATCTTGTAAGCGCGAAAGGGATTTAATTTGAAGCCACATAATATCGATCCCAGTAATCACGGCAAATATTGGGTTGCTTTCGTTTAACATTATCATATGAGATTTCGTACATTAATTTCTTGTCAAACATCAACTAGTGTGACCTTATTATTATTATTTTTTTACGTACTCAATGAAATTTAATTCTCCATCCATTCATCCAAAATACATACATATATATATATATATATATATATATATATATATATATATACCTTTCCCTTCTCTCTCTAAAAAAAACCCTCCCCCTTCTCTCTAGGTAACTCGCCAAAAATCTCCTCCTCCTCCTTCCCTAACAACCGTTAATAGTGGTTTGGGGAGTCACCTTTATATTTTCTTTTAGTATTTTCCTTTTGTAGAAGGCCAGTAGGCAACCCCGGGTCTTCCGGTGGCTGCTGCCCCTCTACCACTGAAATCCAGCCTTGTGCTTTTCGATGGCAGCCACCACCCTCCATCGCCTGCTTTTGAGATCCAGAGATCCACGCCGCAGTCCACCGAGGAGATGACTCCTGCCACCACTGGTGCACACCGCCTGACACCACCAACAAACCAGAGGCGCTGCCGGTCCTCTCGCCGGATCCAAGACAGCCTTTCTCCGATAGAACTCACCGGATCAAATCCCGGTGCTCCACACGCTAATGCCACCCGACTTCTTCCAATTTAACCGCGGCTTCTTTGTTTTCCGAAGATTCCTGGTACCCATGACCAGATCGAACCACCGGCTTCATATGTTTGGTTCAGGTTCGAATTCGGATTTCGATTCTCCAAATATGCCCACTAAACGCGGCAGTTCAGATATGTGACTCGAAAGAAAGGAATTACAATGACAGGAAATTTAGGCTCCTATCTCAAAACCAATTCGCAATGAGTGGGGTGATCTTTGGAACTTATAAATAGGTGATAAATCTTTCATGACAATGATGTGGGATTCCTTGTCCCAACACCCTCCCTCAAGTCCAATATGGTATTTTCCCATTGGAGTTACACAACATAACATAATTCACCAGATATACTGCTGAATCAGTATACAACTCTAGATATACTGTCGGGTCAGTTAACAAGCTCGTACATACGGGTACATACTCCGGATATACTGCTGAATCAGTCCACAATTCCACCCGTCTGCACGGAAGCGATCGACGCAAGTCCAAGGCACACGGGTCCAAGCCCGCACAACGGGTTCATAGTTATCACAGGTCCACAGATCGTGGGCTCTATGTCAAAGTATATAAACACTTTGGGCTTCAATCTCAAAACAAGTTGACAATGAGTGGGGTAATTTTTGGAGGTTATAAATAGGTGATAGATCCTTCACGACACCGATGTGTGATTCTTTGTTCCAACCCCCTCCCTCAAGCCCAATGGGGTATTTAGTCCATTGAGTTTGCACAAATAACATAATTCACCGGATATACTGCCGCGTCAGTCCAAAAGCCAAGATATACTGCTGGATTAGTCAACAAGCCCACACACAGGTACATACTCCGGATATACTGCCGGTTCAGTCCACAAGCCAGCATACACGGGTCCATAGTTATCATATGTCCACAGATCGTGGGCTCTGATACTATGACAAAGTCATCTTGTGCTCCCATCTCAAAACTAATTGGCAATGAGTGGGGTGGCCTTTAGTAGTTATAAATAGGTGACAGATCATTCACGATACTGATGTGGGATTCTTTGTCCCAACACGCACGAATAGAAACTCCTTATGTTTTTACTTTCTTTTTCATAACAAGAAAAAAAAAACAATTAACTCAAATTCTAAGTAAGCCACACACGTTGCATACATATACATCTCTTCCTATGTGGGACTCTGGATGTCGCACTCTCTCCGTGAAATGACTCTTCCAGTGGTCCTTGGCATAATTTTGCAAAAGGGACTGATTTTCAGTTTTTCCATTAAACAACTCAAATTCTGTTGATACGCTTCAACCATAAATTCTTTTCAACTTTACCATCAATATTTAAAGATTAGAACATGAGTTTGAAACAAATTATTGCCAAAATCAAGGAGGGAATTCACATGCAGAATGATGAACTGCAAAATGAGACGGTCCATTCAGATGAAGAGAACCTATGTTGGTGGTGGAGAACCCGTGTTAATGGATAAAGGCACAGGAGGAACAGATAACATGAAGTGTCAATCCAAAATGTGAATAGTTATCCAATTGATGAGATTTACATTTGCAATAGGGCCGAAAAAACTATGGACTGACTTGCCCAATTTAAAAATACGCGGCAAAAAAGTTATTCATGTAACACTAATTAAATATTTAAGGCTTGTCTAATAATCCATTCAAAGGGGTTCGCCTATAATTTTATTAGTATCAAATGTAAATATATAATTTGTCTAGTATTACAGTAAGTATAATATGAAGTGTTGTCCAAAGTTAAAATGTTGGAATGCAAACAAACTAGTAGTTTGTTGAACGTGAAAACTGCAACGACGTCTTCAGTCGATTATACCGGTGGTTAGCTCATATTTTTTATATAAGGGTTGATCCTTATTTATAGTGCTACGGTTAACTATTTGTGAAATCCTTTCTTGGTAAGAAAATAATTACAGAACCATCCTAAAAATTTGCAGGATTTTTATTAGACCGCCTCTCGAACTTAGTCCGGTCTTACCTCGAGCCGGATATTTTACCCTCGTCAAAGTTAAAATATATGTTGGGATATGTTTATTTCTTGAAATAAATTAACTGACTAAGTTCGAACCTAAACTAGTTGGATAGTGATTTTGAATACCGATTGAATCCATCAAAGCCATTACTCTCTTTCTTTCATGTGTAATTTTCTTGTTGCTAAAAGAAAAAGTACCCAAGTCTATTTTAACTTCAAGTTTGCCCCCTATAACGGAAAAATTAATGCAAGGAGTAAACGAGTGAGTGTATATAAGGATATTAGGTATTTTTAGCCTTGCATGACTTGTATATTACACTCTCCATCAAATGATTCTTTTATATATTGTATAAAAATGTTCAATTCAATAAAAATGATTATTTTATAATATACAATGATCTTTATAAATGCTAAAAAATAAATTTACCGCAGCATCATACTAAACTTTAATGCTTCCAGTCGTTCAAGCACAAAATTGTTCATACGTTTTGACGTAGTATGTTTTAATTCCAAAAGGAAAAGAACAATAAAATCCAAATAAGGCAGTGAAATTATTGTACTATAATACGAGATCAAAGGTAATTAGTTACTTACTACACAAGACCTATGCAAGATTTGCATATTCAGCTCAAATGAGAACTCCATTTTCTTCTCGAATCCATAGTCCTAACCAGCTGCCAATATATAGAAAACTACCATCCTAAAACATGAATTCAGTTTGTTGAACTATTTTGGTACGACAAACGTGAGCTTTAAATTGATCCGAAAGGAAGCATTTAAGAATTCCAATACTGATACGCTTATATTTTACCTAGTTATTATATCCCTAATTTGTAAATTTCGCAATATATTTTGAGTACAAATATGCCATTTATGTGATTTTATTTTTAATTGTAGGAATTATACTCAAATGGAAGAATTGTTGAGGTTTTGGACTAAATTGAAGAGAAAAAGCAACTCAGAGGAAGAAATTGAAGCACTTGAAGAGTTGGAGGAGTTTTAATTTAAATTGGCTTGAAAAAAAATAACTTTCTTATTCCTGTAGAAATAGGATTTGAGGAAAACCCAAAAAAGGAGGATTAAGATTTTATTTTTGGGAGAGATTTAACCACAAAACTACTTCTCCATCACCTCAGCCCCCCACCTCTGCCGACCATCACCTTAATCATCATCCACCACACCTCCACGCATCAAACCCTTTCTCCACCTACCAACTCCGCCGAAATCCATCATCAGACCATCACCCCCATCCTCACGCACCATCACCATCAAATCCCATCACCACACCAAATCAGCCCCAAAATTCCACGCCTCCATCTCACCCCATCACCACCAACGTCACACCATACCATCATCATCTTCACGCCTCATCGGAGGAAGCAAGCAGCAAGGCATCAACCGCAGACTCAACTTTCGGCTGACTTTCTCTCGGGTTTTATTATTTTATTTATTTTTTAGATGATGTGTAGCTAAATTATTTAATCTAGGGTTTTGGATGTAGGCGCCGTACTGTTTAATTTAATTTAATTCATGATTGTGACTTTTTCATTAGTTGATATTTAATATTCTTGTTTTTATTCCATGTGAGTATTTGATCATCACTTGCATGCTTTAAAGGTGTTTAACTGAAGGAACGACGGTTGAAGGTTAGCACTAGTTCATGGGAATATTAAACTGAGATAGTGGGCCACGATAGTAGGAACACCGTCTTTGCAGCTATAGATTCTAGGGTTCTTAATGTACTCTAATTAAATTCTATAGTCACGACAGTATTCATAGGGTTAGTTTGAGTAAGAGAATTATATCATGACAGTGAATAGTTCTTAAATAGGTAAATCGTTGTGAGATTAATGAAAGTCCAAAGTCACATATTTATAGATTAAATTAAACTGAATATTAATTGTAATTAATTGTAATTGATAGTTTTAGGTTTAGATTTAGTTTAGATTGATAAATTGTTAATCTAAATAATAATAAGAAATAATTTTAACCAGTACTTGTTAACCTTCTCTGTGGGATCGACCTTGCTTTTTGCTTTACTGCTAGTAATTGTATTAAGTAGGTACTCCCTCCATTCCAAAATAAGTGTCATTCTAGAGTTTGCACACAGTTTAAGAAACACTTAAATAGGGTACCTAAATTACTAGAATATCCTCAACTAACTCCATTAAAATAAATGTTCACCAATAATATTATTTCTTTTGAGGGTATGTTTGGAAATTTTTGACAAAAAATGCATTGAAATCCGAAAACGACACTTATTTTGGAATTTCTCCATTTTGCTAAAACGACACTTATTTTGGAATGGAGGGAGTAATTAATTATTTGACTAGTGTGACGATGGCTTGTCAAATTGGGTGCCGTTGCCGAGGAAGGCATAACCAATATCAAGACTAGATTATTTCTTTTATTAATTAGATTTGTATATAGTTTCCTTTGTTTTATCAATTTATTATTTTTATTTTTTTATTTTTATTTTTATTCTCTTTTCTTTCTTGTGTCAATATTTTTGTAGGATATTTGAACTATTATGGAGAATTTTAACTATGGATATGGAGAGACTCCGTATTATGGTTATGATTATGAATATGGAGACTATCCTACATATCAAGAAGATTCGTACTCTTGGAACAATTCGTCTTATGATCCTTACTATGGTTGTGATTATCAAGGGTATTTATTTGATGCTGGGTACAATTCTTGTTTTGAGAGCGCGTATATGAGTCCTAAGATGTTGTCATGTTTGGAGAGAATTGATAAATTGCTGGATGACATCGAGAAGAAAAATGTTTCATATTTCTCTCAAGAGGATTGTTACCACTAAAATGCATCAGTATATCAACCACCACCTCCTCAACCCACTCTAAGAGAGTTAGCAGCTCGTCAACCTACTCTGAGAGAGCTAGCAGCCTTACAGTCATCACCTTGTCAACCCACTTTGAGACAGTTAGGATCTTCGTATCAGCAGCCACCTGCTCAACCTCAACTTACTGTTAGAGAGACAGCTCTTCGAGATTTTCAAAGTGAAAAAGGCCAATAACTTATCAAAGAGGTCAATCAATATAGGATGAGTGTGGGGTTGCCGGAATATGATGCTATAGGAAATTTGCTTAAATTGAATAAGAATGAGAAGATTTCTGAAGATGATTCATTGGTCCAGTCTCCCCAGC